AAAAAAAAAAAAAAGTACAAAGAAGAGATTCACTTAGCTATTTATGTTATAAAATAAGTCATCAAAAAATTTAACCACAAAAGGTACAGATCCATAGGGACCATTTGCAAACTCTTAACAATTTTCAAAATTTAATTGGCTGAGGCCTACAATTAGATTAAGTACTTATGAGTTGATTTATCGAAAACATTACAAAGAGATTCAAATTTAAACAGTCCAAGATGTTTAACAGCTGAAGCAGAAAAAGAGTTAATTCTAGTAGAATAAAGACTGCAAGATGCATATATGGATTAAATTGATCCTAAATTTTATTGTATTTTGGTCTTTTTGCTTTCAAATCATTCTGCTACTGGGCTCATTATGCAAAGTGAAGATGTTATTATGGAATGGATTTTCTTAGTGCATAAACAAAGTAAAAAGAAGACATTTATAGAAAATATTTCTGAAATAATTATAAAAGGTAGAATGAGACTACAGCAATTATCAGAAACAGACCCGGCTGAAATTTTAAGTACCTCTTTTTTTTCAACTTTTATTAGTTACACTTTATTTACTTTGTATCCCCCATAAACCCCTCTCTCCTCCCCTCCTAATCCCACCTTTCCTCCCTCTTCTTTACACATGCCCCTCCCCAAGTCCACTGATAGGGGAGGTCCCCCTCTCCTTCCTTCTGATCTTAGTCTATCAAATCTCATTAGGAGTGGCTGCATTGTCATCTTCTGTGGCCTGGTAAGGCTGCTCCCCCCTCAGGGGACAATGATCAAAGAGCAGGCCAATCAGTTTATGTCAGAGGCAGTCCCTCTTCCCATTACTATGGAACCCACTTGGACACTGAACTGCCATGGGCTACATCTGTGCAGGGGTTCTAGGTTATCTCCATGCCTGGTACTTGGTTGGAGTATAAATCTCTGGAAAGACCCCTGTGTTCAAAGTTTCTGGTTCTGTTGCTCTCCTTGTGGAGTTCCTGGTCTCTCCAGATCTTACTATTTCCCACTACTTTCATAAGATTCCATGCACTCTGCCCAACAGTTGGCCATAAGTCTCAGCATCTGCTTTGACAGTCTGCAGGACAGAGCCTTTCAGAGGTTCTCTGTGTCAGGCTCCTGACTTGTTTCCTGTTTTCTTCTTCTTCTGATGTCCATCTTCTTTGCTTTTCAGGATTGAGCATTTTAGTCAGAGTCCTCCCTCTTGATTAGTTTCTTTAGGTGTACAGATTTTAGTAGGTTTATCCTAATTATATATGTCTATATGAGTGAGTATATACCGTGTGTGTCTTTTTGTTTCTGGGACAGCTCACTCAGGATGATCCTTTCCAGTTCCCACCATTTACCTGCAAATTTCATGATTTCCTTGTTTTTCATTGCTGAGTAATATTCCATTGTATAGATGTACCACAATTTCTGTATCCATTCTTCAGTTGAGGGGCATCTGGGTTGTTTCCAGCTTCTAGCTATTACAAATAAAGCTGTTACAACTAATGCTAAGATTGTGTCATTGTGGTTACTCGGTGAAGATTGTTAAGGAACTTGTAGTAACTACTTGGGCTGAATTAATAATAAATATCTTAAAATCAAATTATTACAGTTTAGAAAAAGAACTAATTAGATTCTTCCATGTATTGTAAAGAAAACACGAATTCCAGGGCCACCAACATTATTTGCAACATACTGATGCAAATAAGATGGGAATAGTAGGTTATAAGTCACAAAAAATAAGTAGGGTCAACAAAAGCCCATTACCTCAGTTCAAGATCAGAATTGTATATGATTTTTATGGTATTATTAGATTTTCCTGAATCTCTTAATATAATTATTGACTCTCAATATTCAGAGAGAGTTGTTTTACATATTGAAACGGCTGAATTTACTCTTGATACTTCAGAATTAATTTCATTGTTTATGCATTGTAACAGCCATGAGAAGTAGAACCTATTAATTATACATTATTCGATCTCATACAATTTTGCCAGGTCCATTGGCACAAGAAAATGAAGAAATTGTTCAGTTACTAATCGGAAATGTGTTCGATGCCTCAAAATTTCATGAAAAACATCATGTTAACAGTAAAGGTTTAAAGAAAAAAAAATTCTCTATCATGTGGCAACAAACCAAAGAAATAATGTAAAAAAATGTTTTATGTGTTCTCTGTATAATCAAATGCCAAAAGCTGCTGGAAGTAACCCTAGGGGCATCAGAAGCAATGAAATCTGATATGTGGATGTGTTTTATTTTGCAGAATTTGGAAAACAAAGGTATATACACCATAACATTGACACATACTCAGAGATTCAATGGGCAAATGCTTTAAGTTCTGAAAAGGTTGATTGTGTAATTACACACTTATTGGAAATAATGGCAATAGTGGGGATATCTGAACAAATTAAGACTGATAATGCTCCTACATATGTATCCAGTAAGTTGAAGCAATTCTTTGTTTATTATAATAATATAAAGTACATTACTGGTATACTACACAATCCTACAGGACAAGCAGTTGTTGAAAGAGCTAACTGTACTTTGAAAGAGATGCTTATTAAACAAAAAGGAAGAGTAAAGACCCCCCAGAACAGACTAAATAATGCTTTATTAACTCTATCTTTTCTTAATGTTAATGAAAAAGGAAAAACAGCAACTGAGAGACATAGAAAAACAGCAACTGAGAGTAATAGAAAAAAAAAATGAGGAACTAGGTCAACCAAGGTACTGGAAGGATGTGTTAACATCACAATGGAAATCTTCAATAGTTTTGAGATGGGGATGAAAAAATATGGTTACCAACAAAACTTATAAAGATTAGATTTGACCAGGGAAAACCTCCTACTATCTGAGACATGAATGTCTTCATATGGCAACTGAATCTTATTGGTTTACCTAGTCCTCATAATATGCTATGTTTCATATAACATGGATAGAGATTTATATTACAGTTCAGACAGACTTATAATGTTGATAGTTGCCTTTCACCTGCTCAAGCATAGAGTAGAAAATTATCTTTAGCTGACTTATGCAGCTTGCATATTACGTGTATATATATATATATATATATACATATATATGTATACCTATGTATATATACATATATAGAGAGAAAGGATATATAGATATACAGATATAGATATATAGGTATACTGATATATATGTATATATCAATGAAGAAATGTACAAAAACTACAGATATAGATATATAGGTATACTGATATATATGTACATATCAATGAAGAAATGTACAAAAACTAACATCTTTAAATTTTGTTTATTTTCAGAGCAAAAGACCACAAAGCAAGTAGCCCAGATAATTAAGCCTCACAGACTTCCTCAATTCCTTGAGAATTTGTATGCATATCAACTTCAAAAAAGCTAGCTCAAATGATCACTCCCACAGAGACTAGACAGATAACACAAAGACTGGACAGAAAACAGAGATTGGACGAAAAACACAGACTGAAGAGAAAAAATTACAGCTAGCTTTCTCAGGACTTGGCAAATATCCCAATTTTCATAGGTGATGTAGGCAACTATTAATATTTACTATGGGTTTATCTTCTAGTAATGCTGTTGTTAATCCTCAGCGGCTGTATAACCAAATCACCACACAGAGACTGGGTTTTTAGTTAACCTAGAACACAATGCTGGGCAATATTTACTCCCTCCTAAACCTCCAAGCCCTCAGTTTCCTAACATTTAGATTTCCCACATTTTACTTGCTTTTTGTGAAATCTTAGGCCTGGTTCATGCTTTAAGTCCTCCAAGCTCTCTCCTCCAGCTCTGCTCTCCTCGTGCTCTCCCCTCCCCAAGCTCCTCCTCCTTCTTGCCCCTTCCTGTTCTCTAGCTCCTCCCCTCTTTCCTGTCCTCTGGCTCCTCCCATTGCACAACATTGTATCTAGTTGTTTTATTTGTGTCCTGTTTACACAAGAGTTGAGACAGGATGCTTACAGTGAGTATCACAATGCAATATCCAGATTGAAACCAGAGAATTGGGGGTGGGGAAATCAGCATTTGAATTAACAAGGGTAAGGTGTACACATTTTAAAAGAACATTATACCAACATTTCCCCCTTTAAGTCCAATAAAAGGCTCCTTTTCTTTCAATATAACAATAATTATGAAATTATGAAAACTGTTAGGTAAGATCTACACGTGCAATGTCTAGTCCATGTATATTTAGCACATGGAGAAGGTATCTTAGGAGAAAGTGTCTGATTATCCTATCTATCTTGATAAGTTTAAAGTTCTATACCTAA